ATTAATCCAATCTCCGAAGAAATTGTATAGATCGGATGACTATAGCATATAGCTGCCATATTAACTGAACGATCGGAGTAAAGTGCTTGCATGGAAAATTTTTTTATTTGACGAGGTATCTTCACGAAATTAGGCACGAGTTATTGCTTAAGGCAACAAATTATTCTCCACAGAAATTGGTCAGATCAGATCACTATATCATATAGCTGCCATACAAATTGAACGTTCGAAATCAAGTTCTTGTAAGGGGCCTTTGTATTTGTGAAGGGTATTATTGCTTCGGCGCAACCGAACTTAACGTTTTTTCTTGTTTGATTTAAGTTAAACTTTCAAATATTTTTGGTGGCTTCTTTATTTGTCGTTGTTTATTTAAATAATAGCAATAAGTAATAAAAATCTTAGTTTTATTTAAAACTAGACGTTTTTAAAACAAAGTTGGCTGCATAAAAGATCCACAGAATTTTTCAAAAGTTTATTCATGCTGGAACTATTAAATTTTAATCAAGGACATTTTTTTTACCTTCATAAATTCGATAAAAATAATTATATTTTACATGCGTTACATTATTTTAGCGTACAGTGCGTTTAAAAAAATAATGCTTTCAACTTTCCAAAGTGTATGTAGCGTTTATTGGAAAATATGTTGTAATTATAGAAAATACGTTGTTTTATTATAGCCGTGGTTCAATCAATTGCTCTAATCTCTCGCATTGTCTATTATAGGCTGACATCTTTTATGGCAACTTGCAACTAAATTTTCCATATATTCCATAGGAAGCGATCTCCAGGTATGTTGCAGTAGCCGAATAATATCTTTTGTTGACGTTAAATGTTTTCTTCATATTTTGGCTTTCATTAAAGCCCAAACATTCTCTATTGGATTGGCGTTTGGTGACTGTGATGACCAATCTATAGTAACATAATGTCATCTTCATCTTTCTTTGTCAGACATCTTTCTCAAATGTACAACTCAATAAAAATAGTTATCCACGACAAGATCACGCAAAGGGAGAACGTCATTTTTTGATCGCTCTGTATATTCTTTTGAGACTCGCGTTGATTGCAGTAGAAACATATTTTCTGCAATAACACATATTATATTAAACTAAATATACGGGACCAGTTTTGTCATTAGCTGATGTTAGGGGACAGTGCATTTAATAGCAATACTATGGTTGAAATTTTGCGTAAGGTTTGTATTTTAAAGTACTAAGTAACTAAATAGAAAATATGATTTTGACGTACTTTCTGAAAAATCTATGTGCAGTGGAATGTACTGTTTTCACATTGTTGTGAATATTACGTTCAAATTTTCCGGAGTACACTGTAAATAACTTTTCTATAATTTTAGTTACACGTATTTTTATATATCCGTTTTACTTAATTTATATTATTTAATAAGCCATTGGCCGTAGTATGAAAATCAGGACTATTCTTTAAAAAAGAAACATTTTAAAACCAATAACGCAACTTATATTTATTCCTCTAGTAATCAAACTTAGAGATAAATGTATGCACTAATGTTATATTTACCTTAATTTCTTACATACAATTTATATCTTCTATTTCTTTAATTAGTTTCGAGCGGCAAATAATTCGACCGCAATGTAAGTTTTATTAATTCACGGATAAAAGAAAGAACAAACAAAACGTGTAAACTTAAAATCGACTTTCCTTATAGAAAATATGTAAGTATATGCCAAAATAAACAAGAAGAAATACATTTTATATATACATTTAAGACATAGTAAATCATGAATTCAAGCCCCGGCACACGATGAACTTGAAAATATTAACATTCCATATCAAGTTCTCTAGTAATAAGAAGAAGGCCGAGGCAAAACATACATACAATTTGATCAGATTTGACTCGGACTAATCCATTTAAACCGCGCGCGTAAACCGAATCGATAAATTTATTTTTTCCTAAATTGGTACAACTCTTTTTATGTTTGTGGGAAATTTGATCTTCATTGTTGTGAGTTTGGTAGTTGTTTGTTTACGACTCGAAACGTTTGTACCAGGATCCAAAATTTAACAACAAATTTTTTTGAAATTTTGTGTTTCCATTTTAATCAGGCTACGGAATTGTTGATAGTATTGCAGAAGTGTTTTATTTTGTCCACTTAATCACGAACACAGATATTTGAGTGGCACAAAGCATTCAATGTAGGTCGTGAAGTCATCAAAAGCTTGCCTTGTACTAGTCGTCCATTATTTAATGACGATAACATCGCAAAATCTGAAGAAACAATCTTTAAAAATCGCAATGTTGGCATCAGAGAGAAAGCAGAACATCTCCACATCTCTTATGGATTGACTTCACATATTTTGGTAATGAATGGTAATGAATCTTTTGCAAATACGGCGTCTAGTATACTCGTAGGTCGCAAAACTGATGCTTAACAACGTGGTTGTAGGCCCTACATCCATCAAACGCATTATTACTGGTAACGGGACCTGGTTTTACGAATATGACCTTTAAACTGTCCAACAATCTAGCGAATCGCGGTCTAAAAGTGAACCGAAACCGAAAAAGCCAAAAGTGTTACCATGCTATACTATTGGCTCAAGAGCTTATTTTGAAGGCTGTAATAAAGATTTGTATTACAATACGTGAAAACGTTTTTTTTAGTCGGAATCAAATTCGATCAGTTCGTATATTATTGTCATTACAAATGAAAGGGGTTTCACGCTCCATGTCTCTAACATCAGATATACACACGAAAGTGATTGAGATATCGATTTGAAATTTTGCCCACGTTCTTTTATTACCAGGAAGCTGCTTATTTGTCGGAGCCGCCGATATCGGATCACTATAGCCATACAAACTGAACGATCGGAATCAACGAATGAACGAGCTTTATCATTTGACGAGATATCATCAAGAACTCTGCCATGAATTATTGTCCAAGGCAATGACAATGGTGCAATCTCCGAAGAAATTGTTCAGATCGGATCACTATAGCATATAACTGCCAAACAAACTGAACCATCTGCTTGCCCTTGCCCACATGTAACTAATATCAGAATTTTCAAACATTCGGTTGACTTTACTCCTTACCATATATATTGGTGATGGTATGTAAGGTACCTTAATGAAACTTAGAGATAATTTTTTTCTGTTAATAACATGTAGTAATACCAAAAATAGATTAAATCGGGTCAATACTATACCTATCTCCCATAGTCCTAATGTAAGATTTTCAAACTTCCGGTTGGCTTTATAGCGTTCATATCGGTAAATATGTAAGATATCTAAGCAAAATTAACTCAACGTATAATACAGGATATACTATAGTTTAATGCCGAAAATATCTGAAACTATATTATACTACATATAATGATTTTCGTTATATTAACAAACCATATGCCGAATATGTAGGTTAGAGTGTGATTTATATATGCATAAAATTGCTTGAAAATATGTTCTTGCGTATACCTGAGCAATGTCAAAGGTTAATGCAACAAGCCCTGACCTTATACACCGTGTATAGTGATTTCTACTTTCAAGCTGACTCTAAATCGTTTAGGTTACTCAAAATTTATGATATTTTTATGAAATTAGGTGGACAGATTTTCCAAAAAATTATGTGGTTTAGCGCTGAATATAAATGGAGTTGGTATACACGGGGTCTAAACCTCATATCCCTAACATAATGCATTCAGATCCACTGGTTGACGTTTTTCACATCATCTCATATATTTAATTTAGCCTCTCCGGTCCAGTTTATGTGACATACATATATCTCATTTGAGGATGATTTTACTTGTAGTATAATTTTCGCTAATGGCAAGTAAAGTATAGTAATAAAATTAATTAAGTCAATAACCTATAATATAAGTTAATAAGATACAAATTGGATTGTGAACCATTCAGTTTCATAGAACAATGAAGTTGAACCCTTTCGGTACATTTTTTATACTCTTGCAACCTGTTGCTACAGAGTATAATATTGTAGTTACATGTAATAGGTACAAGACTGTTATTTGGTATACAGGATCACAATAGAGAGGGGCATTTGCAGTTTAACTTTTTTTAAATTTGGCGTGGTCCCGCCCCCTAATAGGTTTCATGTGCATATTTTCTAAGCCGCTAAAGCTATAATAACAAAATCCACTGAGAACAAATGTTTTTAGCACCTTTATCGACAGAGTGAAAACGGGTGAAATCGAGTGACAACCCCGCCACTCCCCATATAATGGTACTGTTAAAAACTACTAAAAGCGCGATAAACCAAGCACTAAACATGCCAGAGATTAAATCTTATCTCTGGGATAGTAGGAAATGACTTTATAGGAACTGCGTTCCTAATTAGACGATGGGCGTGGCACCGTCCACTTTTAGGTGAAAACCCATATCTTGGGATCTGCTCAACTGATTTCAACCAAATTCGGCACATAACATTCCTCTCATATTTCTACGGATTACAACCACGCCTTTTTCCCATATAACACCATTTTAAATTCCATCTGATTCTTTCACTATCTACTATGCAAATCAAGCAACATTGATTGTATCGGGATAAAACTTTGCGTGAATAATGCGCTTACCCTTGTGACCAAAAATTCTTTAAATCGAACCAAAACTGTTCAAGCCCCTAGGTACTGATTATGTGGACCCCAGTGCCTATAGTTGACTTTTTACCAAAAACATTGGTCGGTGTGTAAGATATATAGTTGAAATTCATATAAAAAATAAATAAATGAAACTCTCGATAATAGTATGTCTTTGTGTCAAAAATGGGTTGAATCCGATCAATACTTCCTTTAATATAAAATTTTGCGAGAGTACTAATGTTCGGTTACACCCGAACATCCACACTTGTTAATATAAAGTTTTGACAACACCTGAACGCTTTGGTCCTTGCAAGTTGCAAGAGTATGAAATTTTTAGTTATACCCAAACCTTTTTTTTTGTTCGTAAAGAGTTTGAAATCACATTATTATTTAAATTAGTCTTAGACTACATTTGTTCTCATGTTTTTTATTGCTTGCAGATAAAACGGTTCATTCCCCAATTGACGTTCTCGAATAATTCGACGGCTGGGATGACAAACAATAAAAAACATGCTTATATAACGAAGATCGGCTACAAGAGAAATCTGCCAAGCGGAGTGATAAATACAAAACATACTAAAGTTAAAAGGATGTATTGCAAAGAATACTCGCAACATGTTTAATGATAACAAAAACTTATACTAAAAGACAGATACACATAGTTCCTATTTTGAAAAAAAAAATCATTAGTAACGTAATTTAAAATCTAACACCTCGATTTATAAAGAAGAAACTATTACATTATTCAATATAAAGCGGCTGATATACACGTGGAAAATATACATAGAAAACACAAAATTAATGTTAGTTGCAGTTATGCATTAATAGGCGAAAATAAGAATATAAAATAAATAAAGTAAGAACATTGATATGGAAGCGCCAAAGAATGACACTATCAAAGTGTGCTTCAATAGAAAATATAATTGAGAATATATTACAATATTTTTGGGTGTTGTCTAAATAACACATAATATGTATTAAACGAAGCAACATTTAATGATCTAGAAGTTAAGGCTGGGGTCTCAGTCAGTCCTAAAAAAAAGAAAACAAACATACATACATATTTTACCCGTGTCTAAGATGATAGGTGTATTACAATAAATTAATCTAAATAAGTAAAAGTAAAAATTAAAGGATAAAACTTTAGTGAAAATAAACGAAACCTAACATAAAATAAATTTTCGAAAAATATGCAACAAAGTTCCTAGCATTTTAGTGTGCTACATACTATTTTGCCTTTGTTTATTCTTTTATTAAATTAAAGCTTAAGATCTGGCTAATTTAAATGTATTGTAATGTTGAAAGGTAATCAATGTCGCAAAAAAACGCAGTGAGGTCAGTTAAATTTAGAAATTTATATTTTTACCTTATAACTATTAAAGAAGATATTTATTTGAAAGTATAATGAAACAATGGTCGAAAATAATGCTTAAGTTAATTATATGAACTACATCCTGTAAAACTTATCCACAAAAAATTAATGCCCTTGCGAAGTATAATAAAGTACCAGCATTACAAACCATTACTTAAGAGTATTTCAGCACCTTTGAATTCATATATACTTATATTTATTACCATACAGCAACCTGCGCAAAAATTAAGTGAACGATTGAATAATGTCGCCAACATACATACAAGCATATATCCTTACTATATACATTCAGACATACATATGTGCCAACCAAAAGTAAAGAAATAATAAAATTAAATATGAACCAATAAAACCACGGTATGTAAACAAATTCATATTTGATGAAAATTTAGTGCGTATATTAAAGTCAGGTAAACTACTAACATTCTCACAAATGAAAATAATTTTCAAGGGCGGTCCGACAAGTACTAAGCTTATAAAAAGCGAAATTTTTGGAAATGTTTATCTATATATATTTCTTAATTTCCTTTTCTAGTTCGATGTACTTGACCCAGTAAAGTTCTAAACTGTAACCGATCAGAAAAGTACTTAACTTTACTGTCTTCGATTCGCCAAGCGTTGAAGAGTAGCCTATCGAGCAAACTATACGAAATGTTCAAACAAATAGGCAGCACTTGTAGTGCAAACCTGCGCTGGCTGGGTATCAATGCAATGAGGTTTTAGCATTGGCCTTTGAACGAATTCAACTCCATAACTTTGTTTTTGCTTTTACATGTAAGTTTTTGAACAATAAAGCAGCGCGCAAAGATAACGAGCATAGAAATAGCGAATCACAGACAGCTTTTCTGCAATTTGGAAACAAAAATCACGATAAAGTTTAGAGAATACGGTGGACCAGCAGCAGTTCTTTGCTTATTTCGCGCCAGCACCGTGTGGGCGGTGCGTTGTGATGGTGGAAGATAACTTTTCTTCTTCGAAAAATTAAACAATTTTTTTACAACCGGCCAATTATTTGACTGTTCTTTGCTAATAAAAAATAGTGGATTTTAATTAAGTCATCCCCGGTGGTAGCTTGTTGTTATATCTATTTCTAAGACTTTTGCTAAATAAGGCTGCGAAAGCAAAAACTTATAGTGGAACGATATATGTATGTACAGCAAAAGCATGAATATGCCAACGGCAAAACGCAACTTTATGCATGTTCGAATCCCAACATGAATTATGTAAGGAAATTATCAAAATATTTTTCAACTACCACTTTTCGTAACTCATAATTTAGAAAACTCGTATGGCATGCAAATATTCATTAACCTGTTGATCCACAATACTCTCTATTTGCTCATGTTAACAAAGCTCTAAATCTACAGATTCCTTTCTGCTTAAAATCAAAGCAATGTTAATATTTTACTAGGTGAATTTCTTTATCATGAGGTGAATTCGACGGTTGAAAAATCGTTGCTTAAGAATTATTTGCTTAGCTAATAATATAACATTTATCAGAGTTGCTATAACATTTCGTATACCTACCACATTTCTAGAAACTGCAGACAGCATCCCTACGTGAAGAATGTTGTTGTTCAAGAATTCAAAAAACTGAAAGAGAAATTTTATTTAATTCGCAAATTCGTCGCGAATTTACAGGAATTTTGTCCAATAAAAGCAACACAAAATAAAGTTATACTTATGCAGTAGTTGCGTATAAATAGAATTTGTAATAGCATCTAATTTTATCTTTTTTTTTACTCTCGCAATATGTTGCTAGAGAGTATAATAGTTTTATTCACCTAAAAGTTGTTTATAAACCTAAAACTAATCGAGATAGAAATAAAGTTTTATGTATATAAATGATCACGATGATGAGACGAGTTAAGCTCCGGGTGACTGTCTGTCCGTCCGTCCGTCCGTTTGCCTATGTAGGCGATAACTTGATTAAAAATTGAGATATCGTAATGTAAACGTATTCTTGTCGATCTACCATACTGGATGGGCGTAATCGGACTATTATCACGGCCACAAAATACTATTATACCAAAACCTTTAAAGTGCCATAACTAAGCTCCAAATTATGACACAAACTGGAAATGAAATTTGGTGCTCGTCGTAGTGAGAGATACCTGTGGGCAGCAAATGTTGAAAAATTTAGCATGGTTCCACCGTCAATAGCTTCAATGTTAATATACGACAAGCTCGAAACAAACATTTATGCCACCTCTTCTTTTGATGATAAGCCCGCGCGCACTCCATATAACGGTTATATTGAAATCTACTCAAAGTGCGATAACTCACTAACTAAATACGTCAAAAGCATTACATTTCATTTTTTTTTTACAGACAAAGGCGTCATAGAACTCAATATAAAAATCGGACACCGGGCGTGATAACTTTTGGTAAAATGCTATATTTCTGAATTAACCAGGGGTGTTGTAGAATCTGATAATTGTCGGAATCGGAATTGAAACCGTTAAAATATGTAGTAGATGTCGTGAACTTAGAATTATTGGTTTGATGTTCGAAACATAAATTGCATCGGTGTTCGGTGTCACGGAAACCAATTTTATTCGTTTTGTTTTCAGAAATAAAGCAAGATAGTCGCTAACAGATATGAAATGTAAGTTACGAAATTAATTTATTTTATTGTTACGAATTAACGTATATATATTTATATAGGGGAGATCATAAGAATAGAACATATTATGCCATAATTATTGAGTTTATGGAAAAAAATCAGATATTTTAAAAAGATTTACAAAATGTAATTTAATGCATCTTTTATCAGGCGAAAATGTAATATAAATCTGTTAAGTAAAAAAGTAAAAACATACAAGTAAATGCAAGCTAAATTTCAGTTACGACTCCCCTCGGACATCAAGTGGATTACTGTGATCTTTATTTTAAACTTTTCGTTGCTTTCTTCCTCCAATAAAATAAAAGATAAAATTGCGGAACTCATTATAAACTTTAATAGAATTGCTTCCAAATTTATTCATTTGCAATGTTTAAAAAAACGAAAATGCAATTAAATTCTGTGACATCATTAAAAATCAGAATTGGTTTGTAATTCTGACAACTTAGCAAATCTGTCTTGGATTACACAACACCGGTAGTGTCGGATTATAGCCACGCCTACTTCCCATATAACACAATTTTAAATTCCATCTGATTCTTTCACTTTACAGTATACAAAAGAAGCATCAATGAAAATATCGTTGCACAAATAGTGCTTTTCAGAGTTGCCATCTAAAAACTCTCACCTCAGGTCCTCTAGATGATATTTGACTGAAATTCTTAGAGAATCTTTTTCCGATAATAGTTTTCCCTTGTGCCAAACTGAGTAAAATCGAGGCAATATTTCCTCTAGCTCCCACACACCTAACATACAGATTTTCGCACTTTCGATTGACTGCAAACCGTATATACCAGTCAATATGTGAGATATATTAAATAAATATAAAATTAGCATATCATTTCTATCTAATAACAGTGTATGCTTATGCCTAAAATGGATAAAATCGGGCCAATACTAGATCCCATATACCTAACGTTGATTTTTTAACATCCGATTGTCTTTACACCATATATAGCAATAAGTAAGTGAAATTCAGAGACTATCTCTTTCTGATAATAATATGTAGTTTTTCCAAATATGGATAAAATCGGAGCAATCCTACCACTAGTCCCCATTATGTATATGGGTAAGTTGGAAGATAAGAGTGCTGCCCCTAAGGGCTCAGACATTATATCTTAATATCTCGTTCCATTGTTGTGTTCAAACTATTTGGTGCCCTCAATGAAACTACTTATCTTCATTATGCTTTCAGTAGATAGACATTCAAAGTATGGTATTTGATGGATTCCAAAACTTGGATGTCTGAATTGTGATAGATCTGGGCATTTTCTGGCATTCACCGTTTCGTTGCTCCCTTTGAGCTTTGCAGCTACGGGCTCTGTCTTACTATCCTGTATTTTGTTGTAGATTTCCGATAGTTTTGAGCTATTTTTTTCGTTCCTAGCGGACACGATTCGTCTAAAGAGGCTCCTGAGTTAGCCAACTCGTCTGCTTTTTCGTTGCTGCAAATGTTCCTGTGAACCGGGAACCCAAATTGAGTTTGGGAATTTGAGTTGACCTGCCATGGAGCTAACAGTTTTGATTGCTTTGTTTACTAAGCTGAAGTTGATCTTTGGTCGCTTTCTGTATCCCCCGTAATTGTTCAGTAGAACTCAATGACTTCCTAATGCCTAGTACTTCCAGTAGGTGCCACCAAACCAGAGCTCCATATGTAAGGATTGGTCTAATGACGGCCGTATACATCTACATGACTATATTGAATTCTCAATATTCATTCTCCAGTTAAGTTTGGTATCTATCTCAATCCCCAAATATTTTGCTGTGGAGGACAGAGAATTTGTAGTGCCAATGTGTGAGGGAAGTTGAAATTGAGGTAGTTTGGTTTTATTCGTGAATAGCACCAGTCCCCTCTTACTAAGGTTAACACCTATTCCGTTATTCGCGGTCCATAGGTGTAACCTCTGTAAGGCCCTTTCCATAACTTTACTGCTTTCACTCCTCCTCTGTTAAGTTGGACTAGTATACCGTTCAGTGCCACTACACAAAAGCGGGGAAAGGACACCTCCTTGAGGAGTCCCACTGCCTAAACAACTTGTTCGTGTCACTGAACTAATTTTGTTCATAAGCTTCGATGCAACCCTGTATCAGAGACTCAATGATCGTGCTTACCTCTATGAGTAGGTATATGGGTATTGCAATTAAAATTTCAAGCTTTCGATTGGCTTTATGCCGAATATATAGCTCAATGCGTAAGATGTCTTAGCAAACTTAAGTGAACGTATAATATGGTATATACTACACCATAATTTCAAAAATATGTAAAATCAGTCTACGAATTACCCTAATTCCCATATACGTACGAGGTTTGTTCAAAAAGTATCGCGAATTTTGTATTTCTTAAGAAAGTGTGTATTTACTCATAAATATCTATCTTGTTTTTTTGTTCCCAAAATTGAATACGCCAATGAAATGACGACGCTACGCTATGATTGAGGAGATAAATATAACTGTATCGAAGGAGGAGCTGAACAAGAATAAATATACACTTTCTACAATATTCGCGATACTTTTTGAACAAGCTTCGTATACTATACATA